CCATCGTTCCAAACCCTTTAGAGTCGAAGGTAAAAACCCTGCTAGGACTGTCGCTTCAAGGAATGGAAGGTTTTTTTCGTACTGGACGGGTCCCGATCTGGGATCTTATGCCCGGCCATATGTGCGGTAACACACTTCCTTTACCTACGTCCTGCAGACCGGAATCAATCGTTCAGACCGTGCGCGGCGTAATTTGCGGCGGCGAAAGGAGCGCTTGAAATAACTCGGCTACGCCCGTTCTCTTGGAGCAGAAAAGTGTTCGCTGTGGCGGTACCACCTGTCGCAGATACTCGTCCAGCACCCAGAAACAGCTGCCATTTGAGCTTTTGCACTGTAGAAAAACTTATCGGTCCTTTCTCCTTTTCCTTCCAAACTAGTAGCGAGTCCCTTCAAGTCACCTACTCCAAAAGTGGAATTTGTTTGTTAAGATAAGAATAAAACATACAATTCAAAAATGATCAATGCTTGACTTATAGGACGTCTGTTGCCACGGCCGTCGAATGTTCGTATACAAATCGGGAACTGCCCTGCAACAGCTCGGGTGCACAATAATGACAGCTCTGTGGCTCTCTGTCAATGTGATCGACACGACACTAAATCGCTTTTGTCGTTCGCCATTCCCCATCTTTTGAGTAGTAGGTTTTTTTGATTTTTTTTGCTCATTACTTTCATTTTCCTCCCCGAGTTTTAGTTTCTGGCCGGGCAGTGTACTGCAGTGTTCTGACCGCACACCAGAGCGTGCGTCCAACCAACATACCGCTCCAGCGCTATGGTGGTTCCGTACCGCCTTCCGAGGCGCACGTCTTGCTCGCCTTGAGGCAGATGTCAGAATTGCTAGTCACGATCGCGATAGAAGGGATTGTTTCGCTTACGTTTCGCAGCATTTGAGCTTCCTTCCCTCGCTAGCCTCTATACCATTTTATCTTGTACTTCGGGCTATTTCAAAAACTCTAGATTTTGGCTCCACCCATCCCTATGTATGCACCACTCAGCGTGAGTATTGGAACACTCCTTTTTCTCGACACTCTGTTGCTCAATGTCCATCTTTCCTGGTTTCAGGCATACCAGTAAATCCATTACGAAATTAGGATTTTTGCTCGTCCATCATAACTACTTTATCCTTCCTCCTTCGCTAGCGTTGATTTCATTTTTAAGACCTCTTAACGACTTGAGATAGATTATAAATGTTTGCAGTAAACACCAGTGGGAAATGAGAGCAAAGGGTACCGTCGTTTCGCCTGATGCGGATGAAGCTCCATTCACTTTAGACATGCGTAACACTCTTTTAGCATCCTCTTGGCTGCCATGCAGCCTTGGAATCGAGTTGTATTTTTAGCAGGCAGTGGCCAGTGTGGGTCTCCTCTCCTATCCATGAACCCTCTGTTCACATCTACCCGTTTTTCCCAATGTGCGAGATTTTTTGAACTCTAAATAGGAAATTTTGCCCATTCTGGTTAATTCAAAATTTTTAATGATTTTTAAGGTGCTACTTCGCTGGAGTTGGAAGACGAACTTCTACGTGACCGGATCAGAGATAGCCACTTTCACGAACTTGTGACACAATCAGCTTGTGCGCCTTTGACGAGGTTTTATCCGCCGCTTTCAGAGATATCGATTCAATATTCTGATATAATTCTAGACTTGCGCTATCCAACTGTGATTTGGGTGGCGTGAAGCCATGGACGCTCGCCCAGCTAGCTCAGTTTACAGAGCTTCAAGAGGTATGCGCTTTGGAACATTTTCTTGAATCTCCCCAGTAGTAGATATTTACTGACACTCCCTTTCGAAATTTCCTTCAGTTTTTGTGCCTTCATCAAGTGAACTTATTTTTTGTTCCCCTTCCTATCTACTGTATCCGCCCAGTTTGCGATGGGAATGTTATGACGGTTTCGTTAATATGGGAAAAACGTTTGACATCGGACTGAATCCGAACCCTTGCTCTAATTTCTATTGGATTGGAGGGTGATAAAAAAAGGAGGATTCTCGGCATCGCATAGAGCTCCGAAACCATTAAAGACGACTTGAGTCTTGTTCAAGGCCAAAATTTTTGCGAGCTGGGTATCCCTTTTCATTGCTTAACTTTTTATTTTGTGAATATTTTAGCTGATTTTTGACGGATGTACCTTTTCTGTGTCCGAAAGTCAGCTTATTCGTGGAATGGCACCGTCATTCAAAACTCTTTCAAGGCTTGAAATAAATGATAACCATCAGGTGAATAGCTCCTTCTTATCGTTTTCGCTACTTGATTTAGTTGTGTTTTCATTAAAAGTATGACTGTTTCTTGTAAATTTGATTAACTTATCGGTTCTTACCCTTGACCAGTGTACTTTCTACGAGGATTTTTAGTCCAACCTTTCTAGTCGCTCTCTCTACTTAATAGAGATTTCACAAGCTTCAGTCCTTCAACGGTATTATAATTTGAATTAATTTAGGCGATAATGCATTTGAGGACTGCATAAATCTGTGTCGCTTCCAGATAACGGACAAGCTCGCTCGGTCGGTGGCTAGATGCTGTCCGAACCTGGAAAAGTTTTGTGTCTCGGGATGTCCACTCGTATCAGCGCTATCCGCTCTTGCTCTGATGGAGTCGGCTTTTTGTCGTGTTAGTCAGATGCTAACAATGCATGTAGAGAAGACGGCATTCGACGTGGATCAGGTTCGTGGGAACATCTTCAGTTGTATGATTTTTCAATGTTTCTGCCGAATTTGCTAAATTCGGATATTGATGAATGTGGTCTCAAGCTTCGCTCTTCATCAAACCTCGCTCATCTATTTCTACTCCTTTTCGTACTAGTGAGATTTGTGAGTGGAAATTGCTCTGACAGTGTTGCCTTTTAACGAGATCGCCGAGGATCGAACATACCTCAATATCCCATTAATTTTTAAGGCGAAACTCTTCAGCGTCTAGTCTTTCCTTCTATATCTGAAACACAGCCTAAACTTTGGAAGTCGCAAGAGTATCGATACCCAGTTCACCTTAAGTGACGAATGAAATTCTCCCAGCCTCTTCTGGGTGACTATCGGAACCGAGCTTGTGTCGGCGCGCTTGCTGGGCTCATAGTTTTCGCCACGCCACAAATAGGAACCTTAGCGCTGCGTTTGCTCACAGTGTTCTCGAGTGATCCCACATTAGTCGTAAACGAGCGCGCACTTTTTTCCTAATAATCCCATCAGGATGCCTAATGATAGAGACGCAACACCACAACGTGGGGCCTGGGGACTGAGGTAGAGGGCTATTCGACAGTAACTTCTTAGCTTTAAGAATAGTATTTAAAGGCACGGATCACAGTCTTTCGAATAGCTGTGTCGTTTTTCTTCGAGAGGCTAGCAAAACCAAGGAGGAACGTGAGTAGGGAAAAAAGAGAAAGCGGCATAGAAGCTCTGAAAGTTTTCATGTTTGGCCGAGCGTGCTACGAAGGAAGTTTCAGCGCTGCGAAGAAAGGGAAAACGCGAAAGAGCACGTTTTGCGCGAGAGGGCGCAAATGTCGCGTATGCCGCGATTGGTAAGAGTGGCAGCGGTCGCAGCGGTCAAGCGAAGGCGCCAGCTCCCTTGTAGCACACTTTTAATCCGCGAATGCATCATCACCTTTGCGATTGCGAGCTCTACTACCTCGCTCAAGAGAGAATTCTTCTAAGGATCTAATCGCGATGTGCCGTACTGCCTTTAATATGAGTTGACCTAAACAATTGCCAAGTTAAATATTGCCGATTTCAGCTGAACCGCTTCATTCACAGTCCGTTGTTCAATAACCCTGACGAATGGCAGCTGACCCCGGCCGCCATTAATTTGGGCTACGGAAAGCCGGCAGTTTTGGCGGAGCATAAAAGTGCCGTTTGTATATTGATATATGTATAGAGAGGGTGAACCCTGGAACCATGTTCCTATCTGTTAATAGCATTATTCTTCGTTTCAACGCTTTCTAGACCTGAATTACCTCACTAACTTTTTTGTTGTATAGTTATCGCTGGAGATGCTTGTATAGCTATCATATGTACCTAATTGAACGTTTGTTTTGAAAATTCCAGTTCCATGAACGGCTTTCTATATGTATTGCTTGATTTCCAAATCGGTTCACCTTAAATGAGCTCTTTCCCTTTCCAATTCGGTTTTATTGTTGATTGTACCGATTTTTAGTGGGAGATTCGTATACAAAGTATTGGAAAGATCTATGGTTCTTCAGGTTTTAAACTAGGCTAGAAATTCGTGGTTAGGTGAATGAAAGTGTACAGTAAAGCAACTGCTTACCGCTAAATAAAGATTGCTATAAAATTGATGTACATTGGTTTTCCTAATAAATATCAATATGGATCAGTAATACCTCTTTATTTTTCTCAACACGGTTTGAAATATGTAAAATACGTTTATTGTTGTGGTAGGTAAAACGGACAGTCATTCGATGTCAACTAAACCCTTTTTTTGGAATGCGCCACGCATCTGCCTTCATTCAAAATCGTGGACGAAAGCAATTCATTCGATTTGGCCTGTGCAATGACTTGGTGGCCGGCCGATGTGCAAGTAGGGTCAACCGCCGCGTTCCACTTTTCCGAAAATTTCGCGACCCCGCCCTCCTTAGGGGCTCTTGGTGCGGCCCCCCACCATCACCGTTAGTCTAGTCTTATCGTTAGGCGACTCCCCC